TCTAGTCGCTCAAAATAGCCACTCGTATAATCAATTTATGGAATTATTATATTAGTTATGACTTTTATTATTTCTACAATTTCAATTTTAAGCATAAATCTCATTCTCTCTTAATTATTTTTCCCTATTCAGTACTCTTCTTATAAAATCACACTATAACTTCCTTCGATCATATATCATATTGCCCTTGCCCCTACCCCTACCACTTCATTTAACTACAACCCCAAACTTTTATCTTCTTTTTACTATACTAACACTTTTAATCGGAGAATCTCATGTTTCTGTCGTCTGATAATGCATGTGCTGTTAGACTTGATGTTTTCAATTGGTTGTGTGTACATTCTCGTCATCTGCTGCAATAGCAACAACAACAACACTGGCTGTAGTATCAATTTCATCGTACATAGCAACTGGGCTCCAATGCATTCTAAAGAAAATCGGTGTAGAAATATGAAATTATTAATAAATGACAAAACAATAATATATTTGCATAAAATAGAGTTTGGCAAAAAAAAAAAAAAAAATCACTGGAATGACCAATTATGTCCAAAATATGATGAACCATTTCATTCTAATAAGACTCAATCTTGTGTTATTGTTCTCAAACTTCATCCCTATGACCAATTGACTACCAATGCAAGCATATCTCTTTTTACCCATTTATGTAAACATAGGTGATATTCATATTATCTTGCAAAATATGAAAATATGTATATTTTTTATAGAATTGTGATTACTGCTATAATTATACACATTAATTTCTAAGGCGGTTACTCATCAATAATTTTTTATTTTAAAATTTATATAAACACATACTCTTAATTAAAAATTAAAAAATTCATATATAAAATAGAAAGTTGTCTCAATACATAATATAGCTTGGGACTACATTAATCCGGCCATACAATTTTAAAAATTAAATTATTTTAGGGAAAATGGCACTTTTCCCCCTTGAGTTATATACCTATAGCATTTTTCCCCCCTAAATTATTGAAGTGGCTGTTTTTCCCCCCTGAAATGTTAATTGGACATATTTACCCTTAAACTAAATATTTAATTTATTTTTTTTCTCAAACAAATTATGACCATAATTTGGTTCAAACTAAACAAACACTATAGCAACCAAACCGAATATTCCAATTACAATTTAGAATCGAAATTCAATATTTAGAGTTTGTTAAAATCGTGAACCGGAACGGACGGTTCATGTTCCAAACTGAAAAAATAAAATACATTTATTGTTGAATTTAGACTATTTTAAAATAAAGAATACAATGTTAAAATAAAGACGGTTCAAAATCGCAAATCAGATCCGGAACCGCCGGTTCACGGTTCAAGATTCAATTTTTTTTGATACATAATTTTAATAAATTGACATTTAAATATTGGGTTCTAGATCTGAATTATAACCGTAAACTATTAATTCGATTGCTTTAGTATCCGGTTCAATTCAAATCGAACCATGGTCATCCCTACGTATACGCAATAATTTGTTGGAGTAGTAAAATAAATAAAATATTTACTTTAAGGGTATAAATGTCAATTTAATATATCAAGGGGGGGAGGGGGGGGGGGGGGGGGGGGAAAGCACCACTTTTAGAATAATTGAGGGGGCTAATGTGCTTACCTAAATAATTGAGGGGGAAAAAGTGCTATAAGTATATAACTTAGGGGTAAAAAGTGCCATTTTCCCATTATTTTAAGTTGTAAATGCAATTTCCTTGATTATAATTAATAAATTATTAAATATAATCAAGAAAATAAAATTAACTAAATGTGTATTCATAAATATTTAAAAAGTTGCTTAAATACATACATATGTTTATGTACTATTTTAAACATACCAAATTAAAACACTAATTTTGTTAATTTTTAAATGAAATATAATTAAGAAAATTATATTATAGAACTAGACGAAATACATCTAATTAAAGAAATGCATTTATATAAAGATATAAAGAAATGCATCCAATTAAAATTTAAATTTACTAATACAACAATTAAAATTTATATATTTTTAAATTTCTAAATATAATTGTCTTATTTATTATTTATATTGTTAAAATTATAATTATATGAAATACAATTAGGAAGAAATTAATAATAGTGGACGCAATGTGACAAAAATAATTATGATGGACTAAAATTGAAAAAGCCCCTATAACAATAGGACCAAAATTGGAATTCTCTCTCTCTCTCTCTCTCTATATATATATATATATATATATATATATATATATATATATATATATATATATATATGTATATAAATTTTTATGTTTACATCACACATATAAAATAGTATATTATTATAAACAATACTAGTAATTGTCCCGTGCGATGCACGAACTATTATCAATTTAACAAATTTATCAATTAAATTTTTAACATATATCCTATAAATTAACAAAGAAAGTAATGGTTGTGAAAACAGAAAAACGTACTTGAGTTGTTCGGCTCAAAATTAGTTTTATTAAAAATATAAGTATAACTATACAATGTAAATTTTTTTTTAATTTTAATTATGTTATTATTATGTTGATTTTAAAGTTTATTGTTATTTGTATTATTATTTGTATTTGAATTTGAAATAACTACTTTACTTATACAATTAACGTATTTAAATAAAAATTGTAAATAAAATTACAGACAATATTTGTCGAAAATCTATACCAAAAACTTATTCATTTGAAAAAAAAGTATTTCTGTAAGAACTATATTTATTTTATATATAATTTATCCTTTTTATATATGTGAAGTCAAATTAATTATAATTGAGGTTTAAATGAATATATACATAATTATTATACTAAATATAAAACTTACCAATAAATATAGATATAGAGATAGAGATATCTTATCTTATCTTACTCTATATAATAGCATAATGTTTTTTGCCAATCAATTTCCCCCCTAAATGAAATTGTATCATTTTAAGGTATTAAATATCAATTAAATGAAATTGTATCATTTTAAGGTATATAGTGCAGCATACTTATCTATTTTCAATACATGTTAATCTACAATTATTATTATTTAATGATGAAGCATGTAATACATTACAGTATTTTTAAGTTAACATTTTATTATATAAATTAATTTATTGTTAAGCAGGTTTTATTTTTTCTTTCATGTCATGAAATATTTCATATTTAGTTTAAATTTATATATGTTGTACATATATAATAATTATTATTAAGCAATGTTTAAGAAAAGATTTTCGTAGTTAGTTTCAATGTATGATGATGATACTGTATTTTTTATTTATATATTGTCAAGTATATGTACTATAGGCTTTAATTGCAAATCATATTAATAAATATTTTTATATATAAGAAAATTTAACTTCATAATTTTTTATTGTATATTTTTTGATTTCCTAATTTTTTAATTTTCTAATTTTTTAATTTTTTTTTTATAAAAATGTGTGTGTGTGTGTGTGTGTGTGTGTGTGTGTGTGTGTATATATATATATATATATATATATATATATATATATATATATATATATATATATATATATATATAATTATTTTAATGTACACTTTTTAAATCTCATGTGGTATGTTATAACACAATTCTTTATAATATATGCTAACAGTATGTGATGTTTGATATAACAACCAATTTAGTATTGTTAAAGAAAAATACATTTCAGAATAAGTTTTAATTTCATGATTAATATTTTATTTTATTGTTTTTAAAATATTATCAATAATAAAGTTACTTAAATTTTTTGCCGCAAAATCTTGTTATATATATAATTAAACACAATAAACTTTTTCCCTACTTCATTGTGCTTTAATATATACTCCGTATATAGAGATATAGATATAATAAAATATAATTTATAAAATATAAATACACATAATAACTCCAAAAAATATGTATAAATAATTTACCCACACAATTAATGCATTCATACTTGCTAATATTATTTCTATCAAAATGCATTCATTCTGAGGTAAAATTTTGTGGTCATCATTTTGCTTGTGTATATATATATATATATATATATATATATATATATATATATATATAGAGAGAGAGAGAGAGAGAGAGAGAGAGAGATAGATATAGAAATAGAAATTTGGTGGCCATCATTTTGCTTTAATAGAGATAGAGATTGAGATTAATAGTCACTAAAAATGTTTTGGGAAAATAGCACTTTTTCTCCCTGAGTTATGTACTTATAGCAGTTTTCCCTCCTGAATTGTTCAAGTGACTGTTTTTCCCCCTGAAATGTTAAATGGACATATTTACCCTTAAAATAAATATTTTATTTATTTTTATGTTCCAACAAATTAGACCATAATTTGGTTCAAACCAAACAGACATTATAGCAACTAAACCAAAATATTCCAATTACAATTTAGAATCGAAATTCGATATTTAGATTTTATTAAAATCATGAACCGGAACGGCTGATTCATGTTCCAAACTGAAAAAATAAAATACATTTATTGTTGAATTCAGACTATTTTAAATAAAAATAAAATTTTAAAATAAAAACGGTTCAAAATCGCGAACCGGATCCGGAACCGCCCGTTCACGGTTCAGGATCTAATTTTTTTAATTCATAATTTTAATAAATTGAAATCCAAATATTGGGTTATAGATCTGAATCATAACCGGAAACTTTTAATTCGATTGCTATAGTGTCAGGTTCAGTTCGAACCGAACCGTGGTCATCCGTACGTATACACAATAATTTGAGGGAGAAGTAAAATAAATAAAATGTTTACTTTAAGGGTAGAAATGTCAATTTAATATATCAGGGGAGAAAACCACCACTTTTAGAATAATTGAGGGGACTAATGTGCTTACCTAAGTAATTCAGGGGGGAAAAGTGCTATAAGTATACAACTCAGGGGGAAAAAGTGTCATTTTCCTAAATGTTTTTTTATAATTGGGCTTTACTTTATAATAGGCCCTTAGATGCGGAATTAGAGTCTAAATCCTAGTTTTAATTCCTCCGTTGTTTTATAAAACTGCATCAGAGCCAGAAATCTAGGGAAAGACTGAGAACTTGCAAACCTTATTTAGTTCTCTAATCTCTTATCTTTCTCTCCGTCCAAGAATGGCTACCCAGATGAGCAAGAAGCGAAAGGTGAGTTATCTCTTTCTCTCCTCCATTCTCATTTCTGTTTATATGCAAGCCGTTTGCGTAGACGCTCAGGCATATGCTAACACGGTATGGATATTATTTGGTGTTGACAGTTTGTGGCGGATGGAGTGTTCTTCGCTGAGCTGAACGAGGTGTTGACGCGTGAGTTGGCGGAGGATGGATACTCTGGCGTCGAGGTTAGGGTTACTCCCGTCAGGACGGAGATTATCATCCGAGCCACTCGTACTCAGAACGTTCTCGGTAAATAGGATCTAGCTTCTTATGCAGTAATTTTTTTTTTCCTGCGATTTTGTGTATTTGTTTGTTTATATGGCGGGGAAGTGTTATTTGGTACTGGTTTTGCGTAATTGCAGTATGATTGTTGTATTTTCTGTCCAAATTGATGTGATTTTTTTTTGTACATTGGTTTTAAATCTATGCTTATTTGCTTTGGATCAGGTTGTTAATAATTATCTCTCATGGATTAGTTTTAAAAAATAGGCACAAGCCTATGTTTTGCTCCATATCTGTGTATTGATTTAAGTTGGTTAGCTGAATTTTGGCTGCCGTAAATATGGAAGCACAAGGTTTTGCCTAGATTTGTTTTAATATGCATTCCATTCACAGTAAATGTTAATGTCATCTGTAAATTGATTGTAAATGAAACTCGTACAATTTGCAACAATTGAAACCAAAGTTTGTATGAGCTGTTATTGACTTGGAAGTAAAATAAAAGTTCAATAAATTCCTGAGTTTGTGTTCTTGTGTAGTGGGTACCTTTGTGAATACAATGAACCCGTATGCCTTGCTCTTATGGGTATGTAACTATATCTATGCAGAGTAAGTAAACTACTTAAAAGTTTGGATTTGAAGCTTTCCTGGGATGTGAATTATAAGCCAAATGCTAAATCAGTTATTGAGTATTGGGGTATTATTTTGCCTTTTGATTTGATTTTCTCAGCTGATATTTTGTATTGGTCATTAAAGGTGAGAAAGGAAGAAGGATTCGGGAACTGACATCAGTGGTTCAAAAACGATTCAAGTTTGAGGACAACACTGTAGAATTGTATGCAGAGAAGGTGAACAATAGGGGGCTTTGTGCCATTGCCCAGGCTGAATCCCTGCGTTACAAGCTGCTTGGCGGCCTGGCAGTCAGGAGGTAAAATAGTTTGAATTATTTCTAGTTAATAATTATTTCTAGTTAATTTCACCATGCTTCATAACATGCTGGTTATTACGTGTATATTGCCTGTGTTGAGAAAAACTGATCTTTAACACATGCATACATTCTCTTACATGTTAATATTGAATCTTTGGCTATTTCATTGAGGTTGGTGCTTTAATTTTATGCCATCCACAAAGCAAATATCAATTTTGTGTCTGACTAGAACATCTTTTTATCCACTCAATACTACTTAAATGGATCTGTATTTTTGCAGTAACCTTAGTGTAGTGTGGAAACATAGTTTTTATCTATGGTAGATAGCAGACCATGTTTTTTAATCATGTTGTAGTCATCTATAAAGCAAATTGGTCAATCATTGTACCAAGTTTGTGTCGGAAGATGACTAAATGATTTCAGCTTCTCCAGGACGGGTTCCAAGAGCTGCGATGTGATTGATACATCTAGCTCTTTGTTCTTGGGTTGCAACATCACTTGAAATCCATATTATTCCTTTTCATTCTTCAATGATGTTTTGCCAATTAATGTTGTTTTCTTGTTTGTTTAGGGCGTGCTATGGTGTTCTGAGGTTCGTCATGGAGAGTGGAGCCAAGGGTTGTGAGGTACCTTAAAAAATCTCAACCCATTTCTCGGATGTTTTTCACATGGTCGGTGTGTTTTTTAACGTTCTATATTCTTCTATCAGGTTATTGTCAGTGGGAAGCTGAGGGCTCAGCGTGCTAAATCCATGAAGTTCAAGGATGGTTACATGATTTCTTCTGGTCAACCCGTCAAGGAATACATTGACACTGCTGTGAGACACATTCTCATGAGACAGGTGAGTACATTTCAGCGAGATAATTTAGCTTTCCACACAGTTTTAGTGCCAAAAATCTTGTAATTGTTTTGACATTACATTATTTCAGGGAGTGCTTGGAATCAAGGTCAAGATCATGCTTGATTGGGACCCCAAGGGAAAGCAAGGTCCCATGACCCCTCTGCCGGATCTTGTCACTATTCATCCTCCCAAGGAAGAAGAAGAGTACGCTAGGGCACCCATAATGGCTGTCCCAACTGATATTGAAGTCCCAGTTTCTGCTTGATTAGACCACCTGCTAGTTTCTGTTTTTAAGGTTAGGAGGATACTATAAAACCATGTTTTGAGGATTATATTATAAACATCATATGAGAACTCTAGCCAGATTTTATTGAGATAATCCCAAACCTCAACCAAATTATACAATGATCTGACCATCATTAACCCTCCCCCAACATAAATTTATCCTTTAGAAATATAATAGAGATGGTTCTAATGTATCATCATTCATTACTAGAAATGGGGGCAGGTGCCTCTGTCCTGTCACTGCTCTCAACCATGGCCCGACGAGGGTACCCTTGCTGTGTAGCGGTATCAGCGATAGGTGCTTCAGCATTATTGCTCGAAAGCTCAGCCATGCCGCGCCGTGGAGTAGCGATAGGTGCTTCAGCATTATCGCTCGAAAGCTCAGCCATGCCACGCCGTGGAGTAGCCGCACCGTCGCTCTGAAGTTGAAGGCCACCACTTCGCTTCTGGCACAACTCCGGCAAGTACACTCCTTCACCGGAGGCCAAGTCGAAGTAAAGGGCAACGATGTTGGGGCAATTATTGTAACATGCGGCGGAGCAAAGCTTAGCCATGGAGGTCGGGTCAAGCAAGGCATCTGACGACATCCCAACCGATTCCCGATCGACCCCGCACGCTTCCACGCACTCATCGGTCTCTATGTATTCCGCCACGTTACTTCCGACCACCACCTCTGACGTCTTGCATTGGTACTCCAATTTCCCATCGTCCTCGATCGAGTTCTCCAACACGCACCTCTTTGCCGAGGATGAGACGGAAAAGGCACAAATGTTTACAGCCAAGTTCTCGCAGATAATATCAGCGACAACGGCTTGGAAGGAGAGGATCATGCAAGCCAATAAAAGAACCAATGCGAATCTCATGGAAGCCATGGATTCGATCTCAAATTGGTTCTTTTATTTCACTCGCAATCGATCCTATGATTTTATTGTTTATTATATTTGGCTGAGTTTAATTTGTGGGATGGAGAAGATGGTAGAAATATTGAAGGTTATTTATACAATGATTTTGTGGTACCTAGCTAACACAGTAAAATGTGATCGAGCGAGGTTTCACACAAATGAGGAAAATTAGTTAGTGATATATGGATCGAAGTCAATATCCTCTTTTAATTTAGTGGCGTTTGATTATTTACTTTAACGAGTGATGAATAACATAATTCCAGTACTAGCAAATTTTACGGATTATATCTTAATGTTTCTTTCAGAACATTGAACAATAACGTAACTGTGAATTTCCCAGTCACTTAAAAAAATGTTATAGCATGTAAATGGTAGTAAAGTGATTTTTTGGGTCTTAGAATTATTATGATTCATGGGGTTGTAGAGATTAGCGAATTAGGTGCCAAAATGATATTGTTAACTAAATTGTTATAATACTACTTTTAATAATTTCTCTTTAAATAATTTTAATTACATGACACTATCGGTATTAGTTATAATGGAATTGAAATACGTTATTTTATCTTGATAAAATATAAAGTACCAATATTTTAAATTTAATGTACAAACATGTTAACTCTAAAAATACGGACAAAAATTAGAAATATAACGTTAATTTTAATTTGCCTAACTCATCATATCATCCTCCCAACAATAATGATCTAATTTTAATTTCTCAAAAAAGTTCTATGAAATTTAAAGGGAAAAAAAGTTCCTTGTAATTATAAAATCATAAAGAAACATTGGTCCTTTGTAATAAATTAAATTGAGTCCCTTTAACAAGAAAAGATTTCAGGAGTGACAAAGAAGTTGTTACTTTTTTTTTTTTTTAAAGAGAAGTTGTTACTTTTATAACCCTATATACATTGCTATGACTGTGCATTTTTTACAGTCAGATATAAAAATAAATTTTCTAATAATGTTATAGAAAACTTAAATTTGAGTCGAAGTTGTTGAATGAACTCGGTGTTTCTTCACAGATCTGGTCAAACATAGCCAAACCTGATTCTGCCACTCGCCAAAGATTCATATTATATTTTTATTTAAAGGAAGTGGAACTTATAATATCATAACTTTACAAAAGATTCATGTTACGTTGCTAAAATACTAAAAATTACGAAATTATATACAATTGGGAAAGAGAAAGATGCAATACATTCTTTTCAACGGTTTTTTTTTTTTTTTATTTTTAAAGCCGTTATTTTCAAAGTTATTAATTTGTTTTCTTATTTTATTTAGGGTGCTTTTTTGAAAAAAAAAAAATATATTGTGCTACTGAAATTAGTATTATAACATAATTCTCAATATAATCCTATAACGTAATTATCAACATAATCCTTTACAAAGTGACACATGGAAGGATCAATTGTTATACTGATTCACCATGTTTAATAGTGACACTATAAAGTTCTCTTCATTTAAGTTTTTTTTTTTTTTTTTTAGCCTCGTGATTATTACATTCATCTCAAGTTTTGTGCATAAATTTTAATGATTTTGTGGGATCAAACAATATAATGACATGAATGCATATTGTTGAGTGATTTATATAACTGCACTTAAATTTGGATGTAAGATTTGCAATGGAGTATGAAGCAATCAATAAGCCATCTTATTTCATGAGCTTTCTTTTGAAAAGGCAAAAAGAATGTTGTTGTTTGAGCAAAAATCTCAAACCTCAACCAACAACTTATAGAATAATCCAAAAATCCACACCCCTCCCAGGCTAATATAAAACCATACATAACCAATATTTCTGTATATATCTGTTGAGATCGTTGTCAAAACTCAAAACTGTGAACCTCGATCAACTATTGCCACGACGACGGTTGAGGGCTGGTCTGTTGCACCTGGCACAAATTAGGCAAAAACACCCCTTCACCCGCAGCCAAGTTGAAATATAGGTCAATGATGTTAGGGCAATTATTGAAGCACGCCGTGGAACAAAGCCGGGCGGTGAAAGTCGGCTCAAGCAACGCATCCGACGACATTCCGACCGTTTTCCGATCAACTCCGCACGCTTTCACGCACGAATCGCTCTCTACGTACTCCGACATGGAACTCCCAACCACCACCTCCGATGTCTTACACTGGTACTCCACCTTCCCGTCGTCTCTTATTGAGTTCTCTAACAAACATCTATGGCCGGACGATGATATTGAAAAGGCACAAAAATTTATCGGCAATTTTTCACAGATAATATTGGCGAGAACGCCTTGGAGGGAGATGATGATGCAAGCCAACAAAAGAACCAGAGAGAATCTCATCGCAGCCATGGATCGATCGGATCCTCTTTGGCTCTTGTTTTATTATTTTTATTTTTTAATTAGTGGATGGCTTTATTGATGTGAGAATGATTAAGTTAGGAATACGTACAGACTATTTATATAGAGTTTGTGTGATTCTTAGAATGACTCGTTCTACTTCAATTCAGGAGAATTAGTTAGCAAGCTAAGATCCACTTTTAATTCAGTTTTTTTTTTTTATATATTTTTTTAGGAATAAGTAAAATTTCAATTAAACCAAGGTTCAATACAAGCAGGAACAGAATGAGATCATAAAGACCAATAATAATTCAGTTTATTATTTCAATTCCTTTGTTAACAACATTGTACATTTATGCGCATAAAGAGTCTGGTTAAAACCTAGTCCCTCTAATGTTTTTTTATTTAATTTATTTTGAATTAATGACAAAGCATATAACATAATTCTTTAATATTTTCTATGAGACTATCCAATGTTATTCATTTATTTTCTTTATAAAGAAAATTAATGTATTTCCAAATTTTATTGGGTTTACAATTCTTTAATATTTTCTATGACACTATCCAATGATTATTTACTTTACTATTCAAATCAGTATTAGGTGGTTACATTTAGATATAACATAATTCTCAATATTTATCATTTACAAACAAGATATACACAAACACATTTATTGAAACGTTAGAATGAGGTATATTTAGAGAAATTAATATATTCTAAATATACTAGTTATGACACGTTATCACATAAAACATGTCATAAGTATGTAATATTTGTCAGCAGTATTACATTTTTTCATTGAAAAATAATAGTATTTGATTCTTGAAAAGTATTAGGGAAAATATTGTAATTTTATGAGGGATGAGAAAAGACTAGAGATAATAGATCATGACTCAACCAAATGAGCTTGAACCGCCCTCCTTAGGGTAACAACCCCAATACTGTCCTAAAACATAATTTGCACAAAGTATTTTTACATGATGTTTGATAAGTTGTAATTGTAATTTTTTTTCTTCATATAATTCTTTGACATGCACAACTTTATTGTTTGGTTGAAAGAAATTATAATTCTCTCCGAAAATCTTATATCTCTTTAGAACTCTAATTCGGCAAATGAAAAAGAAAATTGTAATGACAAATTTGCCCTTACCAACCAGCCTCAATCATTCTTTCTCATTCAATATGTATGAAATTGGGGTTAATCATTACTTAATAGGGAAGAATATAAAAAGGGGAAATAAAATTGAAGTATTTGGTGTAACGCACAACGTTTGACAACTAATGTGTCTTCAAGCTTTGGATTTCCTTTGACGCGTATGATACCTCATAGGCGCATATAAAAAACCCCTCCGGATCCTTTAAACCATTCTGCCGTATTTGTCTTGCATTGTCTCTCTCTCTACACACCAGAATTCTCCGGTATCCCATTCCGGCGCTCGATTCCCGTTCCGGCATTCAATCATCATGAGTTACAATCAAGGTCCCCCTCCCGTCGGTGTGCCGCCTCCTCAAGGTAAGCTTTTTTCAGTTTCCTTCTTCAATTGAATCGTCTTTTTTGCCAGTTTTTGGGGACGGATCTGATGGATTTTTGAGTTTCTGGATTAGGTTATCCGCCGGAAGGATATCCCAAGGATGCTTATCCTCCGCCCGGTTACCCGCCCCAAGGGTACCCCCAACAAGGTTACCCTCCTCAGGGATACCCTCCCCAGGGCGGTTACCCTCCACAGTATCCTCCGCCGCAGTACGCCGCCCCGCCGCCTCAGCAATCTGGTAGCTCCGGCTGCTTGGAAGGATGGTAAACTTCTCTCAATCCTCTTATCTATGACGGTTTTGCACTATCCGAGTATCGATTTTCGCTTTTGTGCATTTATATCGGGATGCATGTGTTAGATCTATGTGATCTGGGATTTTCCACTCCGATTGACTCCTAGTCAACCCTCTGGCGGCGCCGATGCGCGATGGCGGCGCACCACCGGTTGCTGTGTTGTTTAGACCGAGCTTGTGCTTCCGCGAATCGCGTCGGTGTTTTGCAATAGTTCCACACCGACTTTACTGTTACTCGCTTCCTTCCCCGGCATTCCCGTCGGAAAACATCTCTACTCCCTTTAACTGTTATATCTGTGTCGTGTTAATTTTCCATGGTACTCCCAAATACAATGCACAATTGAATGCCCGTCACATGTTTGATGAATTGCTCTAGAACATTACTGTATGTTGATCTAAACTTGTGCGATCCCTCAGGCCAGGATTGTCAGCCGACATAAGATTCAATTCTCTTTCGAAATCAGGATATAATGTGCTTAGTATTACCTAATCAGTGTTGTTTTTCATGCAATCCCTATCAATTAGATTTACCTATGGTATTTTTATGTGTCTGGAGAAGTGACATTCTGCTCAATTGTTCGGGTGCATTTACAAGACTCTGAGATTAATCGTCTTCCTTGTTTAAGTAATCAAATTGCTGTGTAATTGTACATAGCTTTCATAAAACATCATAGTTGTAATAAAGGGGATGGAGAAATTGATTCACTGTATCTTCTGTCTGCAGTTTGGCTGCTCTGTGCTGTTGCTGTCTCTTAGATGCGTGCTTTTGAGGTTGATGATGAACTGCAGTGGAAATGGTTGGCTATGGAGGGGGCGAACAGGAGTACATTCATATCCCATTACACCTGCAAAAAGGATCTTTTACGAACAATGGATTATCTTATCTTAGTCTTGTAGTTGTCTTTCGTTCTTCTTAGTTAAATTAGCTTTTGATAAATAATTTGCAGACAGACTTCCTCAGAACTTCCTATCGATTTTATGATGCTTCAAAGTGTGAAATACCATGTAAATTTCAAGAGATCCTAATTTCTTTTATGTGGATATACAACTCCTGCTTCTTCTTCTTCTCCCCTCTGTTTGGTCCCTATAATCCCTACTATAGTTTAAGTTCTTGTGGTGATTGGCTTTGGAGCCAAAGTGTTGCAGAACGGAATATTGGAATCTTGCCACTTTGGCTCCGGAGCAATCAATTAGCCTTAAAGAAACTGAATATGATTCCTTGTGTTGGGTTGTGATGAACTGTCAGCTCATTTTGTGATATATGTTTTCTTTGCCTTTCCGGCAAGGAATTGAATTTTCTCGTGATCTTTTGCCTGTTTGAATGGATTAGTTATACTTTAATTATTCTATTGGGTATATTGCTAGAGAAATTGGAATTAGGTGGGGAGAGACACGTGGATTGATGTGGATGTGTACTGTTCTATTTCTACTTTGGGTACAACATTGGTGATGAATAGATGGGAAAAGAATTTTTCTATAGTGAACAAGTGGAAAAAATCAAAGGTGATGGGGAACAAGAGTTGTCTACTTTTGGCACAATGCACGTTGTTAGGCCATCCATCTCCAAAGAAGGCACAAAATTAACATTTCGATAATTTCATTACTTTTTTTTTTTTGTTTTTTGTTTTGGTAATACTGACTCTATTATTACAATGTAGTATATGTTTATAACTATTTCCTTAACACACTGAAGCATAATGAGTTAATGTCACTCGCTCTCACTAAAATATGAGATAGTCATTTTGTGCCACTAAACCACATGATTATTGACATTCATTACTCTTTTTCTTCTTTACTACTTTATAATAAAAAAATATTTTTTAAAAAAATCTCTTATATGTTTGGTTGCGAGATTTGAATGTATGTGTATATACATCTCTGTGGCTCTTCTTGAAAATGATGGTGGTAGGGTATTGATTGGTACTACTTTATAATAGAGTCAATAGTATTAAAAAAAAATATTTACAATCAAATCAAATCAAAATATTAATGTGACTAAAATTCATTTCAATGTTGAACCTTACGCACCATAGAGGCTTTGAGCAGTTAAAATGTCGTTAGAGGAAAATTGGGCCCAATTCTCAATGCAAAAAGTAGCTGGAGAGATTGGGCCTGAACACAGTTTTGATCTTCAACAGATCATTCATTCTGCATCCGATATCAGGAGAGAGAGAACGAGAGATAGAGACTGTATACAGAGTTACAGACAAAATATACGTATACAAACTAAAAAGGAAAGAACGGCTGGAATAAGTGTGCCTTTCAAAATTACAAAGATCCGATCAACAAATCACTGCATTCTAACATCGTTTCTGGTAATTCTCAATTGATCTTTCCTTTTAATCGGCTTTCCCCTGCATAATTCTTATATTGATTGCCTCTGCCCCTTTGTTTGATCCGAGTCTAGGGTTTCCATTTTTTTAATTTTTTTTTGTTGCATGATTCGATTTGCGAGTCAAAATCTTCTCTGGATTTAGCTATCTGGTGTTTCGTTTGGGATTCCTGAGCTATAATTTGGATCACGCAATAAACTTTGAACCTTTCTTCTGAATTATCTTCGCGGACGCTCATTTCATTTGCTTCGTCATTTATTTTGCATATTTGATTGGCTGTTAACGTTAATTTTTATCCCCATATGTTTGTTCTGGCTTCAATAAAGCACTCGTGTCCATTTACTTAAATTGTCTATAATTCCATATTAGTTTCATTAACTACTTGTTATAGACGTGTAAATATTAAGGAGAACATTGATTGCATGTTTCAATTATCTCGTTACAAGTAGATTTGTGATTAGATCTCTTAAGAACTTGTTTGCAGTAATCTGTTTAATGGGTGCACCGCATACCTTCCATGGCTTCTGATGATCTAATTCAAGCTTTTCTTTCAGAGATTTGCAACTAGGTAGTTAAGAACTTGTTTAGTACAATCCTTTAATGGGTGCACCTAAACAAAAGTGGACTCCTGAAGAAGAAGCTGCTCTTAAAGCTGGAGTTCTTAGGCATGGGCAGGGAAAATGGCGCACAATTCTCAAGGATCCAGAGTTCAGTGGAGTTTTGTATCTGCGATCAAATGTAGATCTCAAGGTAAAACTTTTATTTCATTGTTTCTCTGCATATTATATTTTCCCAGTATATGATGATAGATGGGCATCATCCCTAACAGTTCTTGTGATAAAAATTCTCTTCAGTGAAGCTTTATAAGAATTTATTTCTGCTTGACATGACAGGACAAGTGGAGAAACATGAGTGTCATGGCAAATGGCTTGGGATCTAGAGAAAAGGCAAGGTTAGCTCTTAAAAGGATTCATCAAACCCCTAAACAGAATGAGAGCCCAATGGCACTTGCTAATGTAGCTCAAAGTGATGAAGATACTAGTGAAGCCAAGCCAATTGCAACTTCTAGTGATTCTCCACGTCCTGGTGGCTCAAGAAGATCTATCATAAGGTTAAACACTGTTTCAATAGTTTGCTATATCACAATGCTCTCGTTACAGATCCATTAGCATAAATCGCTACATGTTTCAACACATAGTCCATTTACCCTACTGAATGTGGCACTTTTTTTTTTTTAATGTAAATATGATCTTGAACATGAATTCTTATTTCTAAACGTATCTTAATTTTTAGCTGAAGCTTTTGATACCTTAAAACTTAATCACCTTTAGGTTTGCATATTCTATGATTATTTGGTTTTATTATCAGAGTTTCTAGTAGGATTATTAACGCACACAAATTTAGTGTGGATTTTGTAATTAATGTGAATTATCTCAATCTTTTTACTCTCTGAAGGCGTAACTCTAACTTGCTGAAAACATATTTTTGTACTAGAAATGTAGCTTTTCTTTTCTGTTTGTCCATTGGAAAATAGGAAATTGCATCATTCTTTGTTTGGCTTCAGGATATTTATTGAATTAAAATTAAAATTTTTTAGCTTCATGGTGGATTGGGTCACTCTAATTATTGTTCCCTCCCTCCTTTATAGATTGGACAATCTTATCATGGATGCCATAAACAACTTGAAAGAGTCTGGTGGTTCCAACAAGACAGCTATCTCTGCCTACATAGAGGTAGTTGTTTTCTTAATTATCCTTTTAATTGAAACCCATTGTGCTTTCTGCCATTTTGGCCTATTGAGCTGAACATAACTCTTTTTCTTCACTATAGTTATTCTGGTTAATGTTAAGCATCAAGAAGCTATAAAGTTGAAATGGTTATGCTTGGAACTCCCCATTACTGAAATCTGATTTTGTTGCTTTGGTGAGTTTGGCTTGTTAGTATTTTATCCTCAGGTTTTTATATTCTTTGTTTTGTAGGATCAATATTGGGCGCCTCCAAATTTTAAAAGGTTATTGTCAGCAAAACTGAAGTATCTGACTGCAACAGGGAAACTTGTTAAGGTGGGGTTTTTTCGGGGTATGATTTTGTATGTGTTATTGTTTTACTGCTAATATGAATTTTACCTTGCTTTGAAACTTAAAAATGGCAATTGCACTTTAATTTTCTGAAATATCAGCTGGTTTTATCTCTTCAGGTTTGATTTAATACTACAAGTGGTTCTTTTTCACAGATGAAACGGAAGTATAGAATAGCAACAACTTTAACGCTGTCTGAAAGAAGAAGAAACACTCCAATTTCACTCTTGGAGGGAAGACAGAAACTGTCACCAAAGCCTGATTCTGATGATATTGACATGCTCACTAAATCACAGATCGACTCAGAGTTATCCAAGATGAGGAGTATGACTCCTGAAGAGGCGGCAGCTGCTGCTGCTCAAGCTGTTGCTGAAGCAGAAACTGCCATAGCAGAAGCTGAGGAGGCTGCAAGGGAAGCAGAGGCCGCAGAAGCTGAAGCAGAAGCTGCCCAAGCCTTTGCAGAAGCAGCAATGAAGACACTACAGTGGAGAAGCACTCCAAGGACGGTAAGGTCTTTATTTCCTACTGTACTAGGTATTTACTTGGCTTTCCTACCCCCCTCTCACATTTTTTAGCACTCAACGCCTTTGTGTTGTTTTTTGTCAATTCCTGCTTTAAAGAGAGCACCATTCTGTTTTCCATAGTTTTGCCACTTCAGCGTTATATAGGTGGTTATTCTTTTGTTCACCAACTGATTTTTTCATCCATCAGTGTTGAAATCTGCCTACAACTCAATCTCTTATTAATTTCTTTTCTCTGAACATGTGTAGATGATCCGTGCTTGATGGATTTGCAAACGGGCGGTCACAATCTCTGAGGCCGTTTCTGGATGCCAGCCACTGTTTCTCCATGGTTGTAAATATGATACGGAGTAGATTTTTTTGTCTGTAGAATCAGGTGGTGGATTAAGATGCACCTTCTCATTCTGAACATTCTTTGATACAGTACTGGCAAATCCTTTGATGGTATTTGTGTCTGTCTTGTTTCCTCTGCATTTAGTTCTAGTGGAATTTTAGGAGCCCCCTCCCCCCCTCCAACAAAAAGGAGAAATAGAAAGAAAATGGAAAGGTAGTAATAAACCACTGTAAAATGGAAGAGGATGAAATATTCACAGCTTTTTATGTAGTGTTGAATGTTGATAATTTGTATTTGTATGATGTTTGGGGATCCCCAAGTTCCAGTACTCAGGAGAATAATACCAACCTCTATTCTATCATGTTTATTATCTGGACATCTTAATTTTATTGTTTGCCAATTTCCTTGACCTTTTTTTTTTTTTTTTTTTTTTTTGTGGAATTTAATAGACCATTATTATATATATTATAGAATTTTTCAATAATTATATGTTTTAATTTTATACTTATGAATCTATCATACATATTAAATGCTTGTTCAACTCGTAATATTTTTATTTAGTATTGTATCAATGTCGTTAAACACACCCGCGATACATACTCACCAAAATTACTTCTAATATAATTTTTTAATACCCCTACTTAATTCCCCACCCACCAAAAAATAAAATAGAATTTAAATACTATCACGATATCATCAAAAGTCATTTAATTATTTCACACAGTTAAAAAGATACAAATAATTGAAATACAAAAAATTATAAAATAAATTTACAATCAGACACCATTTTAATTGTTGTTACATTTGTTTTTTTTTTATTTATTAATCAAAATTTTAATTTTAATATAATAAAGGGAAAATGGTCAAATAAATCCCTAAATTTTACTCAGAAAGTCAATTAGATTCTTAAACTTTTAAAATGTTAAATTAAGTATATAAACTTGATATTTTGGTGCATTGAAACCCAAAATCATATTAATGACCTATAATAGCAAGTCACTAGATTTTCGCAACGTCCAGCCTACTCCAAGAATTAATATCGGTGACCAGCGACTTCGAATGGTCGCCGCTCAACGGTTGCTTGCCTTCTCCAGTTGGTTGTTTTCTCTGTGGAGAAGGCGACCAACTGTTCGCCTTCTTCGCCGGAGAGGGCGAAAGTCGTTGCTTTCTTCAAAAAATGCGACCACCGACGATTTGTCAGTCGCTATTTTTTTCCCAACAGTGACTAATGGCGGTCAACGATGTTATATTTACCGGTACCAACATGTTACTTGAAAATTAGGCTTATTTGATCGATTTTTAATAGATTGGAGTGTTTAATTACACTTTCGTGTAAAGTTGGAGGGGATATAGTAAATACAACACATTTTCATTTCAACGTCATAATTTTTTTTAATTTTTTCTTTTTTTTGTGTGAAAAAGCTTTGAGCTATCCAGAATAGTAGACTTCTAAATTAAAAATATACACCTTAAGATTAAATTTATTTATTTTTTATTTATCAAAGATTTGATAAAACTTACTAAAAGTGGCAAAACTCATTTCATTTGAAAGTATGAAAATGTAGCAAAATAAAACTTTAAGTATCAATGTGAAAATAACATTAAAATTTTAGGACCAAAAGTGAAAATAGTTGAGTCCGAAAAAACTCATTTTAATAAATACAGGGATAAATATATAATTTTGTGTTCTAGAGGGCGCCGATTTGAAGTTTACGTTTACCCATCGCGATTTTAATACGTAGTACTACGTATTATCGTATCCGACAAAACTCCGGGACAGGAAAGTAGACTTGGGAAGGAAGAGAGCAGCTCTTCCGGTTTAAGCAATCATTGGGCGGAGGGGATTAACTACACACAATCAATACCCCCTCTCCTGCCCCATCGTTTCCGAATTTTCGTTCTGCTACCATTCCCAGGTAATTTAAAATTCGTTGTATAAATTCGTTAATTTCTAGGATAATTAACAGGAAATAGATCTAACAGACGCTTTTGTGATTCTACTGTGTTTTAATTGAGGAATTCGTGATTGGAAGGTTGCTCTTGTTTTGCTGTCTGCATCATCATAAGAATATGCAATCGTAATTTGGTTTTGTATCTTACTGGAATTAACTGTCTTTCAGAGTTTCAGCTATGGAAGGAAATTTGGAAGACAATACAGCCTTTCATGCTCGTATTCAGCAGTTGGAGCGTGGTATATTGTTTCCCTTGCCAAAGTCTTTTTGATTGTACAAGTTTTACGGTTCTCACATCTTAGCTGAAATTGAGAACTCACATGATCATATTCTTAGAAGTTTTGCTGAAGTTTCTGTTTGTTTATTGTTATTCTGTATCTGTTATCCAAATGGCTGGTTTAGTTTTAGTTCAGTTGTCTTAAGTAGAATTGCAAACTTGCAGCCTTTTATTTATGATTAGAAGTTGTGCTTCTTAATTCATGTTGGTAGCACAAAATAGTATGCTGTTTTTAAGTTTGATGATTATTTAATCCTTAAGATTGCTTTGTTCTCTGTTTAAATTGTTAATGATAGTTTCTGATGTATTGGTGGTTTACTTTTAAGAGCGGGATGACTTGCATAAAGACATTGAACAGCTATGCATGCAACAAGCCGGACCTGCCTATCTAGGTGTGGCTACTCGTATGCACCTTCACAGGTATGAATATTATGTGGTTAACTGGTCATCATCTATCTGTATTTTCTACTATACATGTGTGTGTGTTATGTATCCTTCTGCAGTTCTTTCTGGTCTTTCTGACGTACTTCTTTACTAAGAGGATTCTTGAATTTTTTTGGAACCAATTAGGACAGCTGCGTTGGAGCAAGAGATTGAAAACTTAAAAAAGAAGTTAGCTGCTTGCACTAGAGAAAATCAAAATCTTCAAGAGGAGCTTTCAGAAGCCTATCATGTCAAGGTGAGACTTTATGCTGTGTCTTTAATTCCTTATAGTTAATTGTATATTTTTCCTGCTTATAAATCTTGAATTTGTTTTCTTTATTGCAGAGTCAGCTAGCAGATTTACATAGTGCAGAAGTCTCCAAGGTTGTCTTCTCCTCCACAATCAACCTTTCCATTCAATATTCCCCTATTCTTGCTACCATTTTCTGTGTAGTTGGATTTCTAAGATGTCTGCTATTTTGAATTTAAACTTAGTTGGAATGAGGAAACACATTATATTCTAACAATTTAAAATTTAAATGTTCACTATATTTTTGCTGTTCTTCATTAATTTTGCAGAACATTGAAGCAGAAAAACAGCTTAAGTTCTTTCAGGGTTGTGTTGCTTCTGCATTTGCTGAGCGGGACAATGCTGTAATGGAGGTGATTAATCTTGTGCCTTCTCAACCTTTCCTGGGCTCTCTCCCCTGGCACCCCAAAAAATAAAAATAAAAATCAAGGGTCAAAACAAGGGAAAATATAATGGATATGTTTGCCATCTTATTACCTTGTGCCAGACTGGAAAATTAAGGAACTTATAATATTGCTGCTGTTATCTGCTAACTTTGGTGCTTCTATTCAAATAATGATTAGTATAAATGGACTAATAAGTTTTAGTGTGGAAGCATATGAATTATTGCTCTTGTAGACTTAAATATTGATTCCTGACAGGCTTTTGATGCTCATATGTAATTATGTAGGCTGAGAAAGCAAAGGAACAGGAGGAGTTTAATTCAAGAGAATTCTATCCACTTCAGGAAAGGTATCTGGTTTAAATCCGATAGAAGAATAATTCCTAATGAACAGTTTTAAATGTCTTTCACTTTGGCCCTCAGTAAATATTTGATCCATATCATTGAATTGTGTAGACTTCTATTGCATAAATGCATACTCACCAAACTGGATATGTTTTTCTGATGAGATCTTCTTGTTCATTTTTCCAATGTCGAGATAGATTTGAAAAGATTAGCTGTGAATTGCTTGAGGAAAAAGCACTCACTGCCACTCTACAGAGTGACCTAGAAAAGCAATCAAAGCAGCTGGAGGTTTTCAGAGAGGTAATAACCTACTTTGAAATCGCCTTGTTAAGCTGTATTTCGTGGTTTTCCTTGATGTAATGATTAGTTACTACATATCTGTACAAGGAAATCCTGGATGCATTTAGGAGTTCAACATATATTAATTTGTCAAAATCAGCAGCCATCCTTTAGGATCTCAACCAGATACACATAAAGTCATTAAAGCAACAGATACATTTTTCTTTATTGATTGCATGAGACTCTTGAGCTTACAGTTTCTGGATTTGGTCATGGTGGGAGGAAGGGAAGAACTTCATTTGATATGAAGCCTAGGTTTAATGAATGAAAACTACAAGCTACGAATGGAGCTAGAACACTGTGTTTCTTAAAAGAACTTGAAAATCGGAAAGAAGAACTACATTAATAACAAGATCTAGCTATCTAAACACAACACAAGCACCTATATTTATCAGAACACAAGACAAATGCTAATTCACTTCACTGTAACCATGCTAATCCTTGTCTACCATAAAAACAACAAGAAGAAAATTCACACTTAAGAGACTACAATAATTATAAGATTTCCCAAACTGATGAAAAACTGGATTTTTTTTTTTTAATTTTTTATATGACAGTACAATTTGAACAGCAACTCTGTTTTCCCTCTACTTTATCCTGCAACAGGATAGTAGAAAGAAATTTCTCTAATTAGCATTTTTTTTTTGCTTGCAACAGATCTTTTCTTTCTAAGTGCTAGTTGGAAGGACCTCATGCTTTGTAATTTGTACTGCAGGTTGTTAATAAATTTTATGACATTAGACAACATGCTTTGGATGATATTAAGGATACGTGCTTGGAAGACAAATGTGAGTGTCTCCTGCATGACTCATTGGAAATGTGGAGTTTCAATGTTGATGGGGAGACATCCACCTCTACATACATTGTAAGTTATGTAAATCTATATTTTTGACTACTATTTTTTTAGAGTTCTCACAGCTATTTAAGAAAACAATGTTGTTATAGCTGAACATGAGTTGGGAAAACATTCTAAACGCATGAAATGGTTTAAATTACAAATCAATATTTTATGACTATTTAAGAAAACAATGTTGTTAACGTCTATGATCTATGTGCATATAATGTTTCACTTTTTATTATAAATGCACTAACTTTTCCTCAGACAGAGTTCTCTGGAAGAAGAAGTGGAGACATTAAGAAGCTCTTTGGATAATCTTCGAAACAAGCTGCTAGTGGTATGCCCATTATTATCATTTCTTGTTTTTATTTTGTGCAGCAATCAAGTTATTTACTAAAAGTTGTTTCCTTCATATTTATTTGGGTTACCAGGGTTTGGAAATAGAAAATCATCTAAAGAAGAAAGTACGTGATTTGGAAAAGCAGAAAGTAAGGACTATTGAGTTTCTTATCTTGAAGATGGACTTAAAACCATAGCTTTCTTTGTTTTGGATTGACTAAAAAGTCTATCTTGCAGATTCTTTCGGAACAAAAGATCATCGCTGAAATATCCATGTTACGGGATTTTCATTCTCAGCATAGAACCAACATAACAAAGTTGCTTGATGAGGGATTTTCTGAGTTCAAATCAGATCTTCGTATGGTAGAAGAAAAATTCAGGCAGCTTGATATGAGCAGCAGAGGAAATGATCTTATATCTCCTCAGGTAGATGATGTGAAGGAAAGTGAATGTCGAGATGTTCACATAAATACTGAGTCTAGTGCAGAACCGAGCACAACGGTAACCGCCTTCTTGCAGTTCCTCCAACACTTGAATTCTTGTCATCGTTTATTACTTATTTGCTTCTTTGCTATTAGTTTAGTGTATATGTTATGTAGATTTGCTTGTGTTCTCTTGCGTGTATTGAATTTTGTTGTATCTGCCAGAGGAATGACCCTAATCTGTCAACTACCACTGCTATGGGAACTAGTGACACCTCTGAAGCATTTACTATGGCATTACAAGAGAAGGTGCCTTACCTCTTGATTCACCGCTAAACATCTTTGTACTGTGAATATGTGCCAATTTCTCTTCTTATTTGTGATTTCTGAATCTCAACTCCAGATTGAAGCTTTATTGCTTCTATCACAAGAAGAAGAACGTCACTTATTGGAGAGGAATATGAATGCAGCACTGCACAAAAAAATAGAGGAACTCCAGAGAAACCTATTGCAGGTAATTTTGCATTAATATCTTTGCTTAGTATGCATATTCTTCAATTTAATATTTGGATTTTCCAGACACTTGTTTACTGTCCTTGAACATTTGATGTGAGATTGATGTAACTCTATGTTCATAGGTTACCAATGAGAAGGTGAAGGCTCTCATGGAACTCGCACAACTGAGGCAGGAGTACCAATTGTTGCTACAGTATGTTGATCTTTTCCGCAATAGTGTGGACACTTTGTCTTCGTAAAGCATTTTTTTTTCCAACTGCTTTTCTAAAATGTTCACCACTTTGTAGTGAAATGTTGTAGGAAAGATGATCGGGGTATACTTTCAACTGCTTTATTCAAAATGTTCACGACTTGGTAGTGACATATTGTAGGAAAGATGATCAGGATATGAAACAAGGAAAACCTCATTCCGAGATTGGAGGGAAGAAAACTGTTCAAGATGGGGAAGGAAGATTTAAAAATCTGCTGAAGAAAACTTATTTGAAACGCTGGGTTGGTGATTCAGAAGGAAACGATGCTGAATCTTACCCGAGTTCTGAAGTCAACAGCATAGGGTTTGCAAGGTTCGTACAAATCTATTTTTTCTTTCTGCGTACCTCAGATACCTAGTCCAATGCTCCTATGAAGCTTGAATTCCGCTTTTAGTTACCCCATTTTCTTTACCTTTCTCTAGGATGAAAATCGAGAATGCAACCCTGAGAGAGAGCTTGGAATGCATGGAGCATCTAACATCTTCAATCCGAAGGCTGCGCCACTCGCTGTTGAAGGTAATAAACTGCACGATGTCATAGTTGACAATACTACTTATACATCCCTTTTCTCATTATCTCCGTCTTGTCTTGTTAACTATTCTATAGGTTAAAGAGTGCATTGATACAAAGACTAATAACTCACCGGAATCTCTGGAGAACATTATTTACGAGGCAAAACTATTAAAAACTGCACTCGGAACCTCCCTTCCAGTGAGTTGGTCAGCCGAGTCAGACAGTGGATACAATAAGGAGATGTTGGATGATGATTGTACCCACACTAGTAAAGAAAAAATAGACTTCGTTTCTGCTGCTGGGTTTGAGATGGTGGAGCTGTTGGTGTTTGCTGCTCAGCTGCTGAAAGAAAAGACTTGCCGAGGCGAGGCGAAGAAGCCATTGTAAGTTGAAACATATATAGTCACTAGTTAATGGCTGTATAGTATAGGGTTTGTGTCCCCTGGAGTAAGCTCTGATAGCAAGAAGACTATAATGAGATTTGCCCATTGTATATATAGTGGTGTTTGAAATTTCATCAATGCTCTTGTTCCATTTCAGTCTTCTTCTCCTTTCATATGTACTGCTACTCTTCCCAGACTGTTCTTCACAGTTGAATATTCATCATTAAAAACTTTTTGAATGATTCTGAAAGGTTTCATCTGTGCAGCACCCTCCCCCCCCCCCCCCCCCCCCCCCCCATGCATTTGCAGCAGTTCCATTGACATAAACCTTACCAAGATTCAAAGAACAAACAACAGAAACATTAATCTCTACACTACACAGCACAAACATATGAAGGTTATGAAAATTTAGATTAAAGAAAGTTAGACAGCTGAAAGATGAAGAAAAACCTGGAAGCTTTGCAACAAAAGATACAAAATATCAAAACCAAATGGTACTATACAACTTTAGAAATTTTGTATAAAAACAATATGTAATACTATAACCTATAGCCTTTACAACTGTATAGTAAAAATTAAAATTTCTATGTTACTCTTGAAGTTATCGGAGTCTCATATTATATTGATTTTATGATTTATCAAATATCAAAAACACTTTCTTGTATCCTTACAATTTCTTTAAGCTAAACGTCCCTCTCTCTATAACCAAAATGGCAAAACCTAACTGATTATTTACTATCCAACGAAGGTCTGCAAATTTACAGTTTTATATTTAGTTTATGATCCCAATAACAACGTGGGCATTTGGTCTAGTGGTATGATTCTCGCTTCGGGTGCGAGAGGTCCCGAGTTCGATTCTCGGAATGCCCCCAATTTCATCTGTTTATGTTTTTGCGCTCTAAAAGAGAGAGAAGTTTACAGAAAAAGCTGAAATTAAAAGTGTTGAACGTTGGGCATTTGGTCTAGTGGTATGATTCTCGCTTCGGGTGCGAGAGGTCCCAATTTCATCTGTTTATGTTTTTGCGCTCTAAAAGAGAGAGAAGTTTACAGAAAAAGCTGAAATTAAAAGTGTTGAACGTTGGGCATTTGGTCTAGTGGTATGATTCTCGCTTCGGGTGCGAGAGGTCCCGAGTTCGATTCTCGGAATGCCCCCAATTCTATCTCTTGAAGATTTTGCTCTAAAAGAGAGAGAAGCGTGCAGAGGAAGATGAAACTAGAAGTGTAGAACTATGCTATGTAGTATTGTTTTACCAATGAGGCCGTGAGGTCCATATAAGGCCTTCATATACGGGCCGAGATGAATTCCAATCATTAAAGCATATAAGCAATTCTAATCCACTTTCCCATTTTCGCGCGGTCTTTCCGCCATTCCCTCTCTATTTTGATAATTGATGATTTGAGTGTATCTTTGATCCTTTGTGATCAAACAATAGATTCGTAAGTCAAAATCCCCAAAATGGCCAAGAGTGAAGTCTCAGCCGCCGGCGACGATGCGTCTCCTTCCTCCTCACGGCCATGGCAATCCTATAACACCGTTTATACCAACGCCAAAGCCGGTACTACCACTACAACTCCGTAATTTTTGTAAATTATAGTTTTTCTTTTGATTTTTGTCTCGAAAGTCGTAGAATTGGCGAAGTGGGTATCAATGTGGTGATTTTTTCTTTAATAATTTGGGGGTGAAATTGTAGGGATGGAAGGGGTGGACAAGGAAAAAGTGCAGAGAATAGTGTATGAAATGAGCAAAGGGTCCAAGTATTTTGAGAACGAGGAGCGCAAGGAGGGTTATATGAAGCAGAAAATTGAAAACATGCGTGCCCAGTGTTTAAAACTCACTAAAGCTGATATATCTCATTACCAGAAGGTAGACTAATTCTTAAAGGTTTTTCTTAATTTTAGTGATTGCATATGCTTTATGGTGTTTACAGCTTGCTGAAAGAAGGATATTAGAGCTGGAAGCCACGCGTGATTTGTCAAGAATTTGGATACATGTAGATATGGATGCATTCTATGCAGCTGTTGAAACTTTGAGTAATCCTTCATTACAAGGCAAGCCGATGGCGGTTGGCACCTTGTCAATGCTTTCCACTGCTAATTATGAGGTTTGAATTGCAGATGGCAATCCCGGGGATTGGAAATCTGTCTTATTTTTGTATTGATTCTATTCTTATGAGTGCATGATTTGATGGTTATTAGGCTCGGAAATTTGGGGTTCGGGCTGCAATGCCTGGCTTTATTGCTCGTAAATTATGTCCAGAGCTGATATTTGTACCTACTGACTTCAAGAAGTATAATCATTACAGTGGATTGACAAGAAAAAGTCAGTTGCTTTGCTTACAAGGCCCATTTTTTTTTATGTCTCATTTTTATTTGCTTATATTTGGTATAAAATTGCTCTAACAGTCTTCCAGAAATATGATCCTAACTTCTTGGCAACGAGTTTGGATGAGGCATACCTGGATATAACAAGGATTTGCAAAGAACGGGGAGTTACAGGTGCGGAGGTAAGTTGGAAACAACTCTGCTATATCTGTACACCACTAAATTTCATGTCTTTGTCGTTCCTCTTCCATCTAATGCTTATTGCCTCTAGTCTATATGTAAGACCGAGTTTCATTGCCTATGTTTTACTTGGATGTGATACTTTTTAAGGTAGCTGAAGAGCTCAGAGAAAGTGTTTACAACGAGACTGGCCTCACATGTAGTGCAGGAGTGGCTCCAAATCGCTTACTCGCTAAGGTATTGCAAGCTGTGCACTGGAAAATGCTTGATATTATGTATAGTCCCTGCATCATTAATAGATGGTGAAAGTCCATCTCTCTTTTCTTTCCTTTCAAGTGATAATTATTTTTCCGAGTAGAATTTTTTTTTCTTTTGGAGTTTTGGGTGTGTTTTCTAGGTATACCATAAGAGTATAAGTTCTATATTTATTGATAGTGAATCTTTTGGTTGCCAGGTTTGTTCAGATATCAACAAACCTAACGGACAGTTTGTTTTGCCTAATGATCGCATGGCTATCATGGCATTTATTTCTACACTTCCTATTAGGAAGGTATTCTTCTAGATTTTCACTTATAGCTGGTCTTTTTCGCTGTTTGTTCTTAAAAAGAATCTATATTTCCTGGTAAACCATCTATTGTTGTTTTGGTTCTGGAAAACTTTTACAGATTGGTGGCATTGGTAAAGTTACTGAAAACATATTAAAGGATGTTTTTGGAATAACAACATGCGAGGAAATGTTGCAGAAAAGTAATCTTCTGTGTGCACTATTTTCCCGTTCCTCAGCAGGTCCTCTCATTCTCTGGTTCTTATCATTCATTTCCCCGTAATTTTCAAATTCATTCAGAAATTTACTGTAAGAATTCCCTACAACAATACCCGAGTATAAGAATCTAATTTTACCATACTAATATTCTTTATTTGCCTTTTATATTCAAATCAGTTTTACGGTGTTTCTTATTCTCCAAGAAACTTGATATTAGCAACTGACATGGCTTAGTATAACATTTCCGTCCTGTGGTGTGCTAATATCTTCTTGCCTCTTTGTTGTAGATTTTTTTTTTTGTGTCGGTCTAGGACTTGGCGGGACAGATACACCTGAAACAAAGATGCGAAAGAGTATGAGTAATGAGAGGACATTTTCAGCCACTGGTGACGAGACATTGCTTTATAAAAAGTTAGGTATGCCCATAATTTCTTTTATTTATGTTGTGACGAAGACCATACTATGGCATTCAAGCTGGCCAAAATGATATGTACAAAGATTTTAAAGCATATTGGTATCGCATATACTTAATATAAGGTCCATTTTCTAATTTCATGGTGAAATCTCTGGAATTCTCCCCATAATTTCTTTTGCAGTGGAGCTTGCAGAGATGCTCTCTGACGAGATGGAACAAGAAGGCCTTTGTGGGCGGACATTGACGCTAAAATTGAAAACTGCATCTTTCGAGGTATTTCCAGTATTTCAGAGTAGAGAGCTAGTGTCGTTATTATCAATTGGATTGCCGATCTATTGGAAGAGGAAACGAATGGCACCATATAATGCTTGAATACTCTGGTCCCCTAACTTCTTTGTTTTCGGTTGTTGGTTGGTCATATCAACGATGAACCTCAGGTAAGGACCCGAGCAGTGACTTTGCCTAATTACATCTCCTCAAGTGAGGATATCTTGAAGCACGCTTCAAAGCTGCTGAAGGCTGAATTCCCTGTATCTTTGAGACTCATGGGTATGTAACCTCGCTTTTTCCTATACATATCCGTCTAATGGTTCTCATAACTCAGCCTCTATTCTGCCACTTTGTTCTTTTTAAATTTTTATTTTTATCTTGTGGAGAACATGAAACCGTAGTCCATTATTTCTTTGAACTGTTCCGAGGTAGCATGACCAATCATTTGAATATTTATTTTCAACAAGGGCTTCGTATTTCCCAGTTTATGGAAGAAAACGTTGGTCCTTCTGATCCTACGCAAAGAACACTTTCCAAGTTCATTGTTCAAGGAGACGCTTCTGGGAAAAACGCAGATGAGTGTTTGCCTTTGGGCTCAGATGTTAGCGATAACGCCTTCACCCACGACACACATACTGATTTTCCTACCAACAGCGGTGAAACAATATCTTGGGATCTTAGAGCCCCTACCGATAACCCACAAATATCAGATCCTAATGACAGATGCTGTATATCAGGGAACTATAGTGAAGAATTGGGGAAACGCCCCGAGCCTCAAAATGATGAACTTGAAATCAATGTATGCATTGAGCCTATATTTTAATGAATACCCGGTTCAAGAATCAAAATTTCAGTTAACCAAACTGTTCTCGCTTTATCCAGGTATGTAAATCAAATGAAGAGGGGATACCCTTTCCAGGACCGTTGGAGGGGATCAGCCTAGATAAACCGAAGAGGGGTGCTAACTGTGCATATGATGAAACGGGATCATGCTCAGATCATAAAGATCTCGTTGTTTGGTTGGACGACTACAAATGCTCTCTATGTGGAACCGAACTGCCTCCAAGTTTTGTCGAGGAAAGACAGGAGCACTCCGACTTCCATCTTGCTGAAAGGCTGCAAGACGAGGAATCAAAAGACAACCTTAGATGGCCGACACTGAAGCAAAGGTACCCACCCACCACCTAGTTTCCATTCTTTTGCCTGATAAGAACATAGTTTCTGAATCAATCCATCATAGAATGTTCTTCCATTGTTTTCACCTTGTAGCAGATCTGTACAGAGCAACGATACACAGAATCGCGGTAGGCAGAGAAAGAAGAAGAAATTATCTCCAACACCCACTAAATGCACTCCCATTGATAGCTTCTTTGTGAAGACAAGTCAGAATTTCTAACATCAAAACTCCATTGCAGTGTTCAAAGATGTAGGACAAAATGAATTGGTTTGCTGACTGCTTGGCTTAGTTGTCCTTCCCCCTCTCTTGTATATAACAATCAATTAGTTGAATGTTAGTATTATATGTAAAATAAAACCACACTATATATTTGATATATGTTTGGAGTAGAGTACACGTTTGATAAATTGCATACACTTTTATAACATTAAAATTCATCATAATCTTATTAATCATAGTATATTCCTACATTTTATTTTTTAGAATTATAATTTAAACAAATAAATTATTCCAATAGAGTATATTATTGGCACAAAAGAACAAAAACTACCATTGTTGGGCTTCTACTGGGTTGGCTGAGTTCAGTCCCTGTTTGATTCGAGATGTGGTTAATGTTCACCCATGAAATTGATTTTAAATAGGATATGAAAACCAAATAGTCAAAGAACTATGTGTTTGGATTTTCGCTCAAAAAAAGGACAATATTTGGCCACGACAGTATATATACTCGTCTTCTTCAATGCTCAATCTTTCCCCTTCCTGTGGTGTTGCAGAGCCTCCATTTCCCCTCAAATGGAACTCTGTCGAATTGCGGCGCTTATAAATCCCAAAACTCATAAATCTCCTCATTTCGGAGCAGCAGCAGCTAGAAGACAAACCATTGGTTCATATTCTTCATTCAACAAATCCTTCAGTTTTTCCAGTCCCAAAGCCAGCAGTAGTTGTGCCAATCTGGAAGCCATCATCCCAACCATGTCAGAGATAATGGAGTCATCAAGAGCGCAGAATCTTGATCTGCAGCTCCAAACCCTAGGACCCTTTTTCAGAATAACAGCCAGGAATCTGACAACCAAGAATGAGCTTGGGAGGGCTGAAGGGTTAACTAGGGTGTGGTTTGGAGGCAAAATCCTCCATCTGGACTCCATTAAGCTCAACAGGGAGACACTGGGGATGGAAAAATCCATATTTGGGATTGGTGTTTTTATTGGAGCAGTGGCAATTAGGCATGGATATGATTGTGGCTGTACCAAAGCAGAGTTGCTTGCCATTAATGACACTCATCTCTACCACTCCAAGGTATGCTACACCAATTACCAACTCACTTTTACAATACAACATTTTGACTCCAACTAGATAAAGATTAATGTTCCAAGTTGTTCGGGTTGTTGACTTGTTAACCACAAGTTCGACTCCCTCTGAGTGGGAACAATAAGCTATAGACAATCTAGGTGGGTTGTTTTACTTCCTTATAAGGATTTACCTCTTGATTTGAGCCGATCAACTATAAACAATCTAGGCTGGTTGTTTTACCTCCTTGTAATCTTTTGCCAGATTTATCTCATTGTGGTCCCAATTAGGATCATAAGACAATGTTTACCTAGTGCACACCTTCAGAGAGTGGGCTTCAAGTTCCCTCGTCACCCAGATAATTTTTTTTTTTAAAGTGATCAATGCATACTTTTTCATGAATAATGGGTCTGTTTTGTTTTTACATTTTGGTTTGGTTGGTAATGAGTAGCTGGTGAGGTTCTACAGAAGAATTGGGTTCAAGGTGGTGCAGGAAGTGAAAGGTGAGTCCTTTGGAGATATAGGGCACATGCTGGTTTGGGGAGGTATTGGAACAAGAATGGATGCCAATGTTGAAGATCTCCTCATCAAATGGTGTGCTAGGTTTAAACCATCTAGCAGTGATAGGACTGCAAACAGGACAAGACAACAATTTTGATAAATCTCTCACGAGTAAGAGTCAAACTTTGCGGGTACAATTCGGGCCTAAAGAATACAATGCCAAAATTCCAACTTGAGAAGAGGTGGAGGATGCTTGCAAGTTGCAACACAACACTTCTTGCACTATTCCATAACAAAACAGAGTACATATAAACACATTTAGGCTATGTAGTGTATGTTGCAGTGCCATCTACAAATATTACAATCTGCATATGTATATATTCTGATCCTGGATAGGAAACCAGCCATGATTATAACAGGTTCTCATGCATAGTTCTAAGTGAAGTGTGAAGGAATTCCAATTTCTGCTCCCTATGAAATCCAATGTTGTCAAAGAAAGATCTTCAGAAGGGATAAATGTTTTCCTGGAAAAGGAAAAACGAAAAACAGAAATCACTTTGAATGAAAATAATTCAAACAGGGCAAAATCTCAGATATCAACAAAAGTAGCTTACTTGAATAATGGGATCTTTAGATGCGAAGATCTTCAATGTCAGTTAAGACATCTGCATGCCCTTTAGACTGCTTGTTTGGTAAATTAACTACTAATTGACCACAAGCACCACTTATGTCTTGCCCCATTTGCTTACGAACTGTTGTTCGAATGCCATGAATATCCCTCAAAATTTTCTGAAATCTGATCACTTTCTGATCATTACTCGTTCTGAAGTCACTCAGTGAACCGATAGGATTAAAAGGTATCAGGTTCACAACCTGCCAAAGTGGTATATTCAAATCAGCTGGCACGACTATAAATCTATGTCAATGATGCTATTACAATAAAGATCTTGCACGTGCCAAGAAATGTTTTAGGTGCTCAGTATCCCTACCTCGAAAAGAACAGTCTAATTACACTTGAAACTTACCACTTGAAATGTCTCTAACAACTTTCCAAGCTGGTGGGCATGCTGCTCCTCATCATTCACTCCATCAAGCATTATGTATTCAATAAAGATTTTTTGCTGGCTAAAAATAAGGACTAAATGAGATATTGCGAGAAATTTCTTCCAACAGTCTAAAGAAGGATTATCACATGTACCGAAGATGAAAGTCATAGAAAGTGAGTCATTGATCAAGGAGGAAAAGAAAGAAGAGCGGACTTGGAAAACACCTGCGCTTTTGATACGCTTGCAATGCATCCATCAGTCTCTCCAAAGGAAAAGCCCTGGCTGCGGGCATTATCTGACAACGGATGTCCTGAACTGGTGCATGCAGAGACACGGCAAGGTTTATATTTGGGACATCATTTTGGAGCTTGTTAATGGCATGGATGATGCCAACCTAATAAATATCCAAGTGGAAGTTTTCAGATAGTTTCGTATGATACATTAGTCTGTATTATTCCTATATCCATCATCCACAAACAGAATGCAACTGAACAGGTAGTGTATGATACTATGATATATTCCACAGTTATAGGTCAACTTTTAAACATAGTTTACAAGAGTTTCACATGTATAAATCTAATAAAGCAAAAGTTGGAGAATGTAGTAGTTTAAGAAATCACAGCACCCTACATACCGTTGAGACAGTAACTTTCCTTGGAGACAACTGAAATGGGGATGTTGTTATAACCTTGATAGCCTCTACAAGGGCAGAATAATTGTTTAATGGCTCTCCCATTCCCTATCAAGCAGTTGAATTATAACAGATTAGAAAATATTTCAGCCATCTGTTGTATCCAGAATTTGTGGTATTCAAGGCCCCAAAGGAAAAGCAAGGTAATACCATGAAAACAATATTGCGTATGGGTGACAAACGAGAAGCATGCACCAACTGCTCAACTATCTCCCCTGACGAGAGATTATTTTTAAATCCCATGCTTCCTGTTGCACAAAATGTGCAGCCCATTTTGCATCCAACCTTATATCACAAAGAGGCTTAGGTCAGACACCGCTTTCTGGAGCTAACATTATATCAGTTAGTGCATTAACATTATCAACAAAACAACACCATACACCTAGAAGAAGCAATAAATGCAAAGTGGAATAGAATTGGCAAACCTGAGAGGATATGCACAGGGTTGATCTAGGTCCACCAGGACGAGGCTTTCCATTAATTTTTCCCAAGCGCGAGTCATATCTCATGATAACAGCCTCCACAAATGCTCCATTCTAGCAACAACAACAAGAAGAAAAACTATTGCAAATCTGTAACATATTAATGATTGTCATCCCCACCACCCAAACCAATCAGCCAAATATGCGAGCAACACTTGGAAGGTTCAAGCCAGGAGAATTTTAAAACAGACTGCAACTTGGGCACTTCTAAATCACTCCCAAACAAGTATGGGAAGATACTTATATTATTTAATGGCAGCTCAAGAGATATGAGAGAGAAAGGAAAACAATCACCTGCAACTTGATGAGCAGCTTGGTGGTAACACCGTCGTTTGATTCAACGGCAGAGTGAAGGGTAGAAGTTAAAGGTACAAACTTTGAACGAAGCAGAGGGTATGCCCGTGATGGCAGAGATGGAATATCATCCCATTGGCAATTAGGGTTCTGTATCACATGCCTGTAATAGTGTCATCCGCATCGGTAAACACCATATATGCACAAAACAAACAAACAAACAAAATCATAGGAATGAGAAACTTACTTCCAGATTAGAGGGATGAATCGAGTATTGATACCAGCGTTCTCAAATTCAGCTCTAACAATAGAAGAATCGAACACTGACTTAAATGCCATTCTTAGATATTCAATTCAATATCTCACGTCTGCTTCTTCCTCGCAGAGCAGACTCTAATGCTCCAGTTTCGCGAAAGAGAGACGACGGAAGATTAACACACCGTACGACGGCGTATCGCTGCAGCCCGCTTTAGGGCTTGAGATTTTGTGCTTGTTAATACTTGAGCCCAATCCAAACATTTTAAGGCCCAATTAGATAACAACTAAAGATTGGGTTAACAATTTCCTTATCCATTGTTTCAAAAACATACTCACCCATTATAATTATCGAATTTTTTAACATCCCACTAATACCAAAGTAACAAAGTATACTATATATAATCTAAAAACATAATAAGTGTGAATAAAGATTATATCATTCACATTATGTGAATAGACTAGGTAAAGTATATAATTCTCATACTCAAAGTCAAGGGTTCTATTATTGTTAATATATTGTTGATTAAGCATGTCACATATGATTACACAATAACAGAATTAATCCAATATATATTATTGAATAGTGGTTGTGGTTTGCATTGTAATAAATTTATTTAAAGAAAATGCACCACGCAAATAACATTACAACTTGCGATTGAACAAAACATGTGTATCTACACTTGAAACAATTAAAGTATATAACATTAATAAGTTTAAAAGGTGAAGGAATATCGTCGAGATTTTCATCGCCGGTGAGTGATTGTGCCGGCCATTGAAAACGAAGCTTGATATCCACTAGTAACGGCAGTTTTGGAAGCGACGGGAGACATCATGGGATCAGCACCGTTGGAAAAATAGCTCACACGGGGAGAGCGTTGATCATGGGCCTATTTGACCTTTTTCTCTTACTCTTTTTCTAATTAAATGAACTACTCAAAGTATCAAGTCAAGCAAATCGACATTTTGTTAGCGTCACTCTACCTAATTATTTAATGTACCACTCTACCTGGTGGGTTTTGGTCTGGCAAAAATCGATTACTGCACCACTCCTTAGCATTATACACTAATTCTGCAACTTCTACTGCTTCTGTCTAACCATATTTACGGATGTAGTGCCAAAAAGATTACAGATTATGCAGAATTCACAGTTACTGACCTGCTTGTGGCCGTCCTACGAGAGTTGTTGAAAAGATCTGATAGTACCTACTTCCCCAAACATCATTTTTGTCAATGTAATAAGATTTCAAGCAGCAATCAATCCATGGCGGGTGTCTGGAACTGGAAGCATCACCTACTTCACTACAATCATCAGTGTTGGGAATTCCAAGCAACGCATTCCACTCTCTTGTTAATACATCATCAGGCGATGGGAAACGAGCAAAAAACTCTTCCTGAGTAATGAGATCAATAGATAGCTTTATCAAGAATTTTGTAGAATTTAGATAATCAATTAATCTTAGCTACAAAAGCAGCATATATCAGTGGAAATGTGGAAGTCTCACTAGACAAAGAATTGTAATTTTAATAGCCACAGTCATTACTGCAATTCTTATTGTTGTGGTAGGACACATTTGTTCAGGCAGAAGGCAAAGTAAAGCAAGATATCAGAGTTTGATTAATTAGGGACATAATTTATGAATGTACATAACCAGTTATAGGCATGTGTGTGTTATGGATGCTGTAATTACATTTATTCATATGCCAGTATATCAAATTTTCTTTTATGGCTTCCTGTACAGTAGTTAGTAGTCATAATAATCATGAACTAGAACAAAAATGTGAATGGAATTTCAATTTACCGCATCATCTTTATATAGAAAAGCGCGGATTCTGGCAGTTGGATCCTCTAGTGTCAACCTGATCTTGTAGACTTTTGAAGGAGAACGGAAGTCTGAAACTCGCCAAGGTACTGTTGCTACTACTCGAACTACACATCGATACTTATATGTCACCTACAGCACAAGGCAGGATCTTATCAGAATATTCCCCAAGTATAGCTTCACCTTTTTTGGGTTTAGGGTTTAGCTTTAAAGTATGTTACAGCCATTCCTACTTCCCATCTAGTAAATCCGAGCTTGAATCTCATTCCTATATTGGTGAATTGCTGGGCAGAAAAATTAGGGTTTATATGTCTCTCCATTGCTTGCCACTGTTATCAAAAAACTTTTAAAGGAGAGGGTAAAGATAAGGTGGTATACCTCTGGATAGGTTAGAACATTCATCAGAGTGATGAAGGGCACTTTCCGAGAACATGAAGTCTCTGAAAATTTTAGATATTAAAAGAAATCATAAATTAGCAGTTACCATGTCAAAACATAGGGGTATCCAATGAACATAATAACCAAACCTGTCAAGCCAGAATGGCAAGGAAAACATGTAAAAACCTTATGTCCCCGTCTTGATGAAAAACGGCCATTGTAACTCCTGTTGTATAGATGGTGAAGAATAACACATAAAATAAGCATTGCATGATAGAGTACTAGCAGCATGCTGGGCATAACAAACGTCTTATTTGAAAAACAAAACCAAAAAGAAAAAAGCATGAAAAAAAAAAAAAAAACAAAAAGGTTGTAACTTGAGAAGAAAATGCATAAAATGCTGGGTAGACCAGAAATTCTGATGATTCCTCTGTTGTTTGCTTGGGGGTTTTTGTAAGTGTATTAGGAGAAATGTCAATTAGAATATGAAATTTGCAAGGGGCTAAGGACTAAAAGTCAAAACCATCTGGCCAGTGATTGAATGTGTAGTTAGACTCCAAAATAAAAATTAAGTTCAAGGGTGAAAGCAATATGGGGACAGATGAATGAGAATTTTGTTATTTTGAATGTACTTCCCCTCCTATATCCTATTATAACCATGCTGTTTATCTCTAACAAGGGGATCTATAAGCCATTTTGAACAGTCCCAAACCATCTTAAACTACATTAAAGGTAACAAAGTGCTGAATTAAAGCAACAAAACCTTTCGTGCTTGAATACGAGGTCATTGTCATCAGACAAGTAACACAATTTTGTAAATGACTTTAGAACAGCACACCACAGTGATGAGCGAACTTCACATTTCAAGCCTATGAGCTTCACCCATCGACCCGTTTTAATGCAGTTGAGGCCAAGCTTTACATCACCAGAATCAACAGTCACTCTTAAAACAGTTCCAACAGGTGGGAATGTACATAAAACATCTCTTGATAAAGGAATAGGTTCCAACTGTAAAGGAAGCGGATTTTCCTTTTCATCTTCTAGGCTGTAAATTAATAATAATAATAATCATAATAAATAAATAAATAAAAGGCAAAAATGTTCTTAACACAAGTGATTTCAAATTTAAAGTATATTTTATCTATCCAATTTACCAGATCCGCACAAATAAGGGTGGAAGATTTTTGAGGTTTTACAGTTTTCAAGAAATTGTGTTTTGTTTGATGAACTTTGAGATTTAGCTTGTCAAGAATATTGTGAGTGTTCATGACGGTTGCTTGGGGGCTTGGGGCTTAGAGTGCTTGGCCAAGTGAAACAATTGTATGTTTGGCATTTAAGTGATTGTCCCTTCAAGTGTGATGCTTTTGTTGGCTTCATGCAATGAGGCTTGGTGTTGTTATAGCAAGGACATGTTATGATCCAGATTTGGGGTGTGACAGATTATCTGTTTACAGACATAACACAGGCACTTAATTTTCTTTTTTCCTTTTCAATTTTTGTAATTTTTGGTAAGAAATACGAAAAAGTAATTAAAATTAAAATAAAAATTAAAATACCAAATGAATGAATAGATACGGAACAAAAAACTCAATGGAGTTTAGCAGATGGTATATTGTTAGCATTTTTTATTGAAGAGTAGTTATTTACAGGCCAAGCTACCATTGGGAATTGTGTCAAAGTTTGTATATCTTATGGTAATGAACCCTAAAAATAAACAGAAAAATAAAACCACGAAGATTACTTGGATTTGATTGCAACTGGGGGAGTGTCAGTACCATCCCACACAAAGAGCATCCAGTGGTCTCCTTCAGTTTCACACACATGAAGAACCTTGCATTGAAGAGCAGAAATAATACCAAATTATCATAATGGCAATTTTGAGTAAGAGATGCAGCAGAAGTTGGATAATTCTGAAGAAATAGGCAATAGATTAAAGTGTACTGGATTATAAATGAGCACCTTACAAACCAAACTGAAGCCGACACCTTCCTTCAACTCTTCCAATTGTAGTAAGTCAGTTAACCCTAACAAGGAAAAAGATCATCAGTAGAGGGGTACAGGGAAAGCCAGGCTATAAACTCAATTACTCTCAACATGTTATCAAGTTCGTACCAGCATCAATTTGGTGACCAGCCAACAACCACTTTCGCAGGTCCAATATAATTTTCTTATTAACTTGCTCTATTGGACAAAATTTATCAGAACATTGGTAAGGCTCAAAGCTTGTACTGTTTTTTCCTTCATATAAAGCAAATGATGAGTACTTCTTGTTGAAACAAGCATAAACATCAGGTCCATGAATTTTCATCTGCACAAGATATGTTTTGCTTGCTAATAACCACTTTTTGAAATATTGAAAGACTATAAAAAGCCTAAATGTAATTGTTCCACCTATTTAGTATGGTTAACTGGTCTACATACATTTATCCACTGGTCAGGTCAGTAAAACTAGCATGAAGCACCATAAACACCCTAAAACCAAAATCAAATACGTTCATAAGAACTATAACAGCTCTTGCACCTCAGGTATGAAATACTAGCACTTCCAAACAGCTTGAGAGCAGGACTGGACAAATATGTTATATTACTCAGAAAAATTAGAAGAGCAAGAAGGCTTCACTTTACCAGAACTATTTTAACAAAAATTGAAAACTTCGTAAAATCATATTACCAGAACTTTAGAAAGCAGAATGATATCTCCCTCTGTTATCCCTTGAGGCAGCTTGTCCATTGTCTCCGTGAAAAAATTAACTGGAAGCGCAGGACTCGGCCGCGATTCATCAACGATTCTGATTGAAACATAATAATCTACGTATAGCCCACCAAAAAGTTAAAGGAAAAATTAATTCAACCCGCGCATAGATTATACTGAGTATGAAGAAACGGAGTTTTCACTTTTCAGTAAGGTTTTTACCAGTTCCTTTAGACTTCCTTTGAATGCCACTCTCGGTGACGACGCCAATGAGATTGACTTTTTGGTTCAGTGAAGCCATGGCGTCTGCTATATGAATGAACCTCGACATTTTTGCTCTCTTTGAGGGCGGAGAAAATCAACGCATTTCCTCGCTGCAATTATGGAAATATATGGAGCGCCAATTTGGATAGTTTTGGAGCCAAAAGTCGGGTAATTTCGGAAATTAAGTTCAAAGCATGGTTCATGAATGACAACATGATAATCACTGCCTATCTAGTTTTTAAAGGATGCCTAAAAAGTTAAAAACTTTTAAGGGCGTTTGGTTCATGCAACTAATAAAATAAATTGATTAAAAAATATAAACTCAATATTAATAATAAGATAAAGAAATGTGAAATTATATAAGAAATTAGAGGGTATTTCACATTCCCTTTCAATAACTAAAAACATAATGCGAAGTTTATATGATATTCTCTGGGAAAGTTACATAACTTGAACTAAACATAGGAATTTTATATTACAAAGTACAAAATCTCCAACTTTCTTTAAAAGTACAATTATATTCTTGAACTTGAAAAAATGCAATTAAATCTTGAAATTGACAAAGTGAGTCAAATAGACCTAATTTACCAATAACCAATAGGTTGTCCATAAAATTATCGACGTTGACCGCTGAAAAAACCCATTTCCACCGGAGAATAAGATCTCCGGTCGTCTTCTCCAAGAGAAGACAACCTGACTATGGTCTGAGGCTCTGTGTTGCGTCTGACGTCTCCAGACTCCAAAACTCTAAAGTCTAAATGAAACTAAGTGGTGTAAAACCCATTTCGACGGTTCTACCTTTGAATAAAGTTAAAAAGGTCAAATTGACTTGGTAGGGAATATCCCGACCGACATAGCTTCACCACGACCGAGGAGCCTTTGTCTCTTTCTCCTTGTCTTTGCAGGTAGCAGGTCGGGTTCCACGAGAAGAACCCGGTCGTAGACCGACCGGGAGTTGCCCAAGCGACGGTGTCGACCACCGAGCGGTAGCCCTTTGGCGAAAGAGCTGACGAAGGACACGTGGCGGCTCTTTACATCGACAGGCAGGGCACCCGGGAGGATGACACATGGTGGCTACGTGGAGGACATGCCGAACGGCTGGAATCCTGTCCCCGGCATAGCGGCTATAAATACCCACAGTAGCTACAGTGTAAGGGACTTTTGGACGATCGATAGGTTGTTGTTAGAGAATCCCGACCGCAGTCAGTCGGTACTCAGAGCAACCAAGTAGATTGTACTTAGGGCCTTACCGTGATCAATAAAGATATTTACTTGCTTTAATTGGTCTCGTGTTGTTATATATTGCTTACGTGTAATTAGCAGTATCATTTTGGCGCCGTCTGTGGGGACCGTGCAAGAAACCAACGTCTTGACGAGCACCCGATCACCATATCGACATGTATCCGTGGGCACACAACAACTTTGCCGACGACCAGGCGGATGCGGCGAGCTCCTCCGACCACTATGCTACCCAACAGCAGGGTCAGACGATGGACCTCAACCTCAACCTCTCGCCACCACATCCATCAAATACATACCCGGCCGCCCAGCAGCCGGTGAATTACATACAACCGGGATACCCACCACCCGGCCTGCCATACCAGCAGCAGCCGATGATGTATCCCGCCCAGTATCCGTACCCGGTCCCACCTCCACCGTATGGGTATTGGCCAGGCCAACCGATGTGCTACACTTCCCCGGTTGGTTATCCACCATATACGCCTGCCTATACAGCTCCAGCCGCCGCCCCTCCAGTACAACCGACCGCACAAGTAGAGCCGCAGCGTCAGTCCACATCCCGGGCTCGACGCTCGGCTCATTCGCGGTTGGGGTCGGGGGGTGCTGATGCGATGGAGGCACCAGCTCAGGCCGTTCAAGCGGAGGACCCTGAAGAAGTTGCCCGAGCGGTAGCTTTTGATCGTCTCCGACCAGAGATGCGCCAGCGTTTGGGACCCCAAGACCCGAATCGCGGGCAAGAGGACGTACAAATGCAGGAAGCTAGCCACGAGGCTTCATCCGGGTATAGCGGGTCGAGATCTCACCGACGGCGACGCGCTCGGGATACAGCCCAAGCCGCCGAGCTCAACGAAACCCGAGGATTGCTCTACAACCTCCAGGCTGAAGTTGCGCAGCTCAGGAGTGCGTATCCCACAGCACCCCCGGCCGACCGATCGACCCTACACCAGACGCCTTTCACAGCAGCGGTAATGTCTCAGCCTTACCCGCTCGACTTAAAGGTCTCGGGAGAGAAGAGTTACGACGGTCGGACAGATCCTGAGGCTCACGTGAATGATTTTTTCAGCAATATGATGCTGAAGGGCGTTTCAGACGCCGTGATGTGCAGGGCCTTCTACTCAACCCTCACCGGTCGGGCGGCAGAATGGTTCCGAACCCTGCAGCCGGGGTCAATCGACAAATTTGAGACCCTGGCGATCAAGTTTGTACGGAAGTTCATTACTTCCAAAGTGGTGAGGAAGTCCTACATGTACCTCGAAAAGGCCAAGCAGCTCGAAGGGGAAAGCTTGACCGACTTCCTCATCAAGTGGAAGACAGCGGTCGGGGAGGTCGAGCCCATGGATGATGCGACCGCTACCCACATGCTTCACATTTCTCTCCGGGCGGGGCACCTATATCAGGATTTCATCCTTCACCCCCCGACCTCGTATGAGGAGGCCCTCCGAAGGGTCACTGATTACGCCAACGCAGGTGAGGCGAATGCCGTAAAGCGCTTGCAGGAGGTCGGCTCTTCGTCCCGTAAGCCGGCCGGCCGGGCGGAGCATCGGTCAGGAGACGACCATCCCCGATCCCGCACCAGGCCTGGCGAGTTTACGGCCTTGAACCGATCTGCAGCGGAGGCCATGCAGTACGCCCAGTCCTGCAATCTCATCAAACTCCCCCATCCCGATCGCGACGGCCCGGACAAGAGTAAGCACTGTGCTTACCATCGATGCGCCGGGCATGACACCGAGGAGTGTACCCACTTGCGCCAATTATTAGAAGATTTGCTCAATTTGGGAAAATTAGACAAGTGTGTGGGGAAGAGAGAGGAAAACAAAAGGAATACCGATCGGAGGGATCACAGGCAATCTCATCACCGCTCTGATTGGTTGGGTCAGGACCGAAGAGACGATCGAAGGGACGATCGTCAAGATGACCGACGGGACCCTGACCCTCCGTCCGGTAGCCGCCCGTCCGGAAAGCCTACCATCCACGTCATTTTTGGTGGGCTGGAAGATGCTTCCCGACCGCGGACTAATTGCCCGGTCGCAGTAGTGGATTCCCGGGAGACCGGGAAGAGGCAGAAGATGGAGCCCATAACCTTCACCCTCGAGGACCAACCTACCAGCAGTGATCACGGCATGGAGGCGCTCGTGGTCACGATTGACGTTAAGGGGACGGATGTCCAGAGGGTTATGGTTGACACGGGCAGTAGCGTGAACGTCCTATACTTGGACGTGTTTGAGAAGCTTGGCCTTGACAGGAAGGAGCTGACTCCGGTCGGTGTACCACTGTCAGGATTTACCGGGGCTCTTATCTACCCCGAGGGAAAAATAACGCTCCCAGTCGAAATCGGCACGCCTCCAAAGTCGATCCAAACGGAGCTGGAATTTGTTGTGGTCAACCTCCATTGCGTCCACAACATTATCTTGGGCCGACCCGCCATTATGAAGGTCGGTGGGATAATTTCTATGCCCCACCTGTGCATGAAATTCCCCACCCCTAACGGGGTCGGCGTGGTCCGTGGCGATGTCCAATTCGCCCGGAAGTGTTACACCCGAGCGGTCAATAGACGTGATTCCGGTCCGTCTTCCCGGGTGAACACCATAGCCAAAGAGGAGGCTAAGGAACGGAAGGAGCAGCCTGAGCCTTCCGAAGAAATTGAAGAAGTTCCCCTGTCCGAGGACCGCTCGGACAGAAAGATAAAGATTGGACGAGCCCTCACCCCCGAGATCCGAGCGAAAGTTCTGGCCGTGCTCCGGGAGTACGCAGATATCTTTGCATGGGGGCCTGAAGACATGCCCGGGATCGATCGGTCGGTCATTTGTCACAAGTTGGCCGTCGATCCCGCAGCTAAGCCGGTCGTGCAGAAGACACGACACCTCTCTTCCGATCGCCGCGAGTTTGTAAGAGAAGAAGTCAAGAAGATGGCGGCGATCGAGCACATCCGTCCGGTGGTCTATCCTGAGTGGGTGGCGAATATTGTTCTTGTTCCTAAGCCCCCAGCATGGAGGATGTGCATCGACTTCACGGACCTCAACAAGGCCTGTCCGCTCGACCCGTATCCTCTACCGAGCATTCACCAGATGGTCGACGAGACTGCCGGGGCCGAGTTAATGAGCTTCATGGATGCCTTCAAGGGGTACCATCAGATCATGATGCACCATGAAGACGAGAGCAAGACAGCCTTCGTGACCCCGGATGGGCTGTATTGTTACCGAGTGATGCCGTTCGGTCTGCGGAACGCAGGAGCCACCTACCAGAGGATGGTCAATATGCTCTTTGCCGATCTATTGGGCCGAACGATGGAGGCCTACATTGACGACATGCTGGTCAAAAGTCGTGCCCGATCCGACCACACTCGGGATCTCCGGGAGTGCTTCCAGATCATGAGGAAGTACCAGTTGCGGCTGAACCCGACCAAGTGCACATTCGCGGTTCAGACCAGCAAGTTCCTCGGCTACATGATGACCAAGAGAGGAATCGAGCCCAACCCGGCCAAAGTAAAAGCGATTCTGGACATGCAACCACCCTCCACCGTTCGGGAAGTCCAGCAGTTGACCGGTCGGTTGGCAGCCCTCAGCCGGTTCCTCTCCAAGCTAGCCGAGCGCGCTTTGCCTTTCTTCAAGGTATTGCGGAAGGTTAATGGATTCGTCTGGGACGAAGAATGCCGAGCGGCTTTTGACGAGCTGAAGGAACATCTCATGTCACCAATCGTGCTCTCAAAGCCCGAGCTCGGAGAAGAGCTAGACGTGTACCTCGCCGTGTCCGATCGCGCAGTAAGCGCAGTGTTGTGCCGAACCGATCCGGAAGGGGTCCAGCGACCGGTGTATTATGTAAGCCACGCGCTACATGGTCCCGAGCTCCGGTACTCCCGGCTAGAGAAGGTCGTCTACGCCTTGTACGTTGCCGCGAAGAAGTTGGCTCCCTACTTCCAGGGTCGAGCAATTC